ACTTAACAGTAGATCTATACTCAGATGGCTCCATTACTGAACCTATCTGCTTTCTTAGACCTTACCTTAAAAGGTCTGCCTTTCTGCCCAGTCTTTTTAACTGCCTAACCTATTTTGTATCCCAGAGACTAAACCCTTTTATTTAAGATATCACAAAAGGACATGTTGACAGCATCCATCTCTAAAATATCCAATACCAGAGACTGCTCCAGAATGCCCCCCAACACACACACCAAATGAGGATGCTGCCCTTGCTCAGTGAGAAAGAGCCATGAAAACGACCCCCTTCTCCACCTACCTGTGAGAACAAAAGTCAGAACTGACAGCCAGAGTCACAACATTCTTCCATTTTGATCAAATAGTGGTAAATCCTGAAACTATAGTAATTTGCCTTTTTATAACTAAAGTAACTTTTTCCCTAGATTCTTGCCCTCCTCCTCACCCTGTCCATTGTGCCTCCCTGCCATGATGGACTCTTCTCCCTCTGGAACTGCAGATCCAAATAAACTCTTCCTTCTATAAGTTGCCTTGGTCATGGTGCTTTATCACAGCAACAGAAAAGTAACTAATACACTGCTCTGCCCCCCTTTCTGCCCTGTAAGAACCTCTGCCTGTAAGCAGATGGCAGGCTCTGATTTTGACACTAGGCACTCCCTCAACAGGTTTTTCTCCCAAACAGAAACCTGAACTCTCATCAAGTTGCTCATTCCTTGGCCCCAGCCCTTCCTTCTCATGAAGTAGACAGAAGTCCTGAATATGTATGGCCTTGGATAGGGCTTCTTCATTCTGGGAATCTCAAATAAGACCATTAACTTTTTTTACAGTAAAGATATCCTCCCTCCACATCCCTAAGATCAGGGATTTTGTCTTATCAGCCGTAACTCTGTCAGGTACTCAGGATTACAGGAGCCACTTTGTGATAGCTCCATTTAAGTTCTTTAGCCACTCTTTGAAGATAATAGCTTCAGAACTCACCAAACCTCTTAATATGACCACTGTAAAGCAGTGAAGTGGGGCTCCCTCTCTCAAAGAAACCCACACCCATGCTCTTGGTGTATCTTTCTTTCTCCCAAGGTGCCTCTTTCCCTTTCTTAACACTTGTGTAATATATTTAGGATGCCTTCTAATATACTCCAATTCTACTTCATACTGCAGAATTTCTTCCGTGTCACTGGAAATTCTTCTCGGTGTCAAAGCCAAGGATCTAAGTTCACCTGAACTGAGGGACCTAAAAAGTAAGTCCCTGAAGCTGCAGGGTGGCAGTGTTGAGCTGTGTCTCCATCCCTGTCAACACTGACCCCTCCAAGTCACGCTTTCATTCATTCCTCTGTCCCTAAGCTTATCTAGCATCCATCCCTCTCCCACAGCTGGCTCACCTCAAAATACCTTCACCTGTTCCCAGGCCTCGCCTTGAGGGAGGTGTCACTCTATGCCTGCTCACACCAGCTTTGATCATCTCATATTATCAAATCTTTATTTTTTTTAATATTTTGGGTTTTTCATTATTTTATGTGTATGCGTGTATTGCCTGCATGTGTGTAAGTGCACCTGTATCGTGCAATACCCGTGGAGGTCAGGAGAAAGTGTTGGATCCCCTGGAACTGGAGTTACTAACAGTTATTAGCCACCATGTGGGTGCTGGGACTCAAACTCGGTCCTCTGCAAGAGCAACCAATGCTCTTAACTGCTGAGCCATCTCTCCAGTCCTTAAATCTTTCTACTACTACTTTTTGGTCTTTCTGAAACAGGGTCTCCCTGTAGCCCCAGCTGGCCTGGAACTCAACATGTAGACCAGGCTAGCTTCAATGCCATAGAGGTCTGCCTACCTCTGCCTATCGAGTACTGAGATTGAAGGTGTGCACCACCACGCCAGGCTTCTATTACTACTTTGAAAATAACTGCTGCCAATTTCTTTTCTCCTTCAATCCACTAATCCAAAACTCTGGAAAGCCAAGAGTGTAGCTAGGGATTAGCTCCCCCGTGTCTGGTTCTCATGTCCTTATGCAGTTAGACTGGCCTCCTGGCTGTAAGGCAGGATTCTACAAGTAGTTCTGGTCAATGAAATGAGTATGAAGAGGGTCACCTCTGCCTGAGGCAACGCAAAGGCTCAGGGGTGTCCTCTGAGTCACTCCTTACCCCTTGGCAAGTACAGAGGCTTAGAGTTCAGAGAGAGAGGCCACCTAGAATGTGTAGTATCTTTCCATGGGCTGGGGTCCCAGGCTGAATATAAAGGGGAAAAGAGAAAGTGAGTTGAGCTGCCCAACTGTGGACACGTGACCAGCTACCTCATGCTCCTGTCATCATATGCACGTGTGATCATGCACACACACACACACACACACACAAATAATAATAAATCCGTATGTATGTATGTATGTCAGATCAATGAGGAATCCTTATATTGTTCGCTCCATTTTTTAAATTTTTCTTAATTAAGAAGCCGGGCATGGTGACAGATGCCTGTAATCCCTAGAGGATAGTGGGTTCAAGGCCATCCTAGGCTACACAGTTTGAGGCCAGCCTGGATGAGTATAGAGGTTTGAATGAGACATGCCCCCCAAAGGCTCATATATTTGAACACTTAGTCCCCTACGGGTGGCACTGTTTGTGGAAGTTTAGGAGGTGTGGTCTTGCTGGAGGAAGTATGTCACAGGGGGTGGGCTTTGAGAGTCCATAGCCTTGCCCCACTTCCAGTCTGCTCTCTCTGCTTCCTGTTTGTCACTGAAGATGTGAACACTCAGCTTTCTGCTCTGACCGCCTTGTGCCTCCATGCCTCCCTGCCGTGATGGACTCTGGAACCATAAACCCAAACTCCCCCTTCTATAAGTTGCCTTGACCATGTGTTTTATCACAGCAACAGGGGGTAACAATACAGTGAGAGACCCTATCTCAAAAAAAAACGTTTTTAACCCTAGAGAATTCAATAGTTTTGTGCAATAAATCAAAATGATCACCCCCAGAACATACAGAGCCAGACCAGCTCCAAAGCTGGTGACAAAATTGTTTTATCTGCTGTTTCTTTGTTTGGGGGTTTGTTTGTTTGTTTGTTTGTTTGAGACAGGGTCTCCCTGTAGCACTGCTGACCTGGAACTGCTATGTAGACCAGGCTGGTCTCTATCCCACAGAGGCTCACCTCTCTCTGCCTCCCAAGTGCTAGAATTAAAGGTGCGTGCCACCACCCTCAGCTGATGAAATGGTTTTAAAGTAGATATTATAAACTGCCAGTGTGGTGCCACATGCCTGTAATCCTAGCACTCAGGAGGCAGAGGCAGGAGAACTGCCACAAGTTTGAGGCCAGCCTGGTTTACATAATGAGTTCCAGGTCAGCAAGGGCTTCAAAGGGAGACCCTCTCTGGAGAAAAAAAAAAAAAAGAGGAAGGAAGGAAGGAAGGGAGGGAGGGAAGGGAAGGGAAGGGAAGGGAAGGGAAGGGAAGGAAGACAAACAAAAACCAAGGAGAGTTGCTCCATGGTTAATGTGCTTTTAAGCAAGCCTGACAACATGAGTTCAAGTCCCAGAACCCACATGGTAGAAGGAGAGAACCAACACGCAAAAGTTGTCCTCTGACCTCCATATACATGCTTACCCATACACATAAAAGCTTTGTTAAGTATGGAAACAAATTAATTACCTATATTGGTTACTTTTCTGTTGCTGTGATAAAACATCATGACCAAAACCAACTTGAGGAAGAAAGAGTTGTTTTATCTTTACAGTTTACAATTCATCTTTGAGGGGAACTAGGGCAGGAACTCAAGGCAGGACCCTGGAGGCAGGAACTGAAGCACAAACCATGTAGGGATGCTGCTTACTGGTTGTTCCCCCTGGCATATGCTCAGCCTGCTTTCTTATATAACCCAGGACCACTGGCCCAGGGTGGTACTACCCACAGTGGACTAAGTCCACCCACCTCACTCAACAATCAAAAAAATGCCTCACAGACATGCCCACAGGCCCATCTGATAAAGGAAATTCCCTAGTTGAGGGTCCCTCTTCCAAGGTGTATCAAGTTAACAAGACTCGCTATCCAGCACGATGGCAGTGATGGCACAAATGGTTGGAGAGGCCAAATGACCATCTTTAAACATGGGGTCAAAGCTACATTGTGTGTGTGTATGTGTGTGTGTGTGTGAGAGAGAGAGAGAGAGAGAGAGAGAGAGAGAGAGAGAGAAGAAAGGGGAGGGGGGAAAGGGGAGGGGAAAGAGGAGTAGACCAGGTCCAAGATGGAAAGATACCTGCCCAGAGTTACCAAGCTTCAGAAGTCAAGCTAGGAGCCCTGACTCTCATGACTTCTTTCTCAATATTGTTCAAGTTCAAACAGAATTAAGTGTTCATCTCTGTCAACTGAGACTTGGTTCAGATTCCAGATTGGTGATTTATTTATTGCACAACCTGGGCACATTGAGTTCGTTATCTGTTCCCTCACCTGCAGCATGAAGAGACATGCCTTACCTCCTATGATGAAGTGCAGAGTGAAGGAAGCCCTCAACAGCTCACCTGTCTCATGGAGACCTGGTTTGCCTCTGAATCCCACCTAACATACTGCAGTACTCAAATACTGAGCCCCAGGATTGGGGGAGGGTATGGGAAAATCAATCAGTGCATTCCTAAGACAAGGCCAAGTTTAGAGCAGAAGTCTGGGGAGAGGAAAGCCAGTCACCTTCACAGAGCAGTCCTTTCCCACAAGACTTGCCTGCAGGAAACCTATTCAATTCATACTATGTGACTGACGTGGGGCCCTGAATGCCAAACAGCAGGGGCCAACAGAACAGATTAGGGGTTTCACTGTGGAAACACAGCTCTGAGACACAGCTTGGGGTCCTGATCAGCTCAAAAGGATCCCTAGTTTTGAGACTGGAGGACTATGTCCTCCCAGGGCAGCCCAGCACCTGGCACAGCACACCCCATCTGCCCAGGGTCACAAGCAAGACCTGGCAGGGCCTCAGGCTGTGAATTCTGGCTGGACCTAGGAGTCCCAGCCCCTGGGGGAGGAGAAAGGGGCAGAGCCAAGAGATTGAAGCTAGGCCTACCAGAAGGGGCCAGCTCCTGCCTACAGCTCCGCTCTAGGACAGAGAGAGGTGAGTCAAGAGGTTAGGCTGAGGCCTGGCCAGGGAAGGAACTGAGAGAACCCAGGAGGATGCAGCCAGTAAGGAGCCTCCAAGTTTCTGACGGGTCTGAGCACTGTTTTTCTTTCATGCTTCTTTACAAGCACCTGTAGGCAGGCACCATGCACTTGACAGAGACGCCTGTCTTCTTGCGACTTAAATTTTGGTGTGGGGTAGGGGGTGAGAGCAGTGAACAAAGGTGTGGTGGGTAGATTGTCTTGCATGTTAGAAGGTGGTAAGGAAAGCGAGAAAAGGTAGAGCCAAGTGAGGGACAAGAAATGTGGGCAGGGGCTTTGGGATGTTAAAGAAGGTACTCCAGGGGACCCTACTAACAGGCAACCCAGGGAAAGTGAGAGAGCCATGAAGGTATGTGAGGAAAGAGTGTCCAGGCAGAGGCAGAACCCCAACAAAGGCTGGTGACAGCAGGAGGCCTGAAGAGTTGGGAGCAGGCTAGGGGCAATGGCAGCTGCTGCGAAGGGCGCAAGAGGCAGGCAGCTGAGGGGCCCTTGCAGCACAGCCCTGCTTTGGAAGCTTGCCTATGAATGCCACTTGCCACCTGTGGCTGTGACCTGACAAGAGACTGTTCCGCACCAGCCCGGTCCTCTCTATGAAATGATAAGAACTGTACAGCATCCTCAGACTCAGGGGAGGAGAAAAAGGACAGCAAGTGGCAGCAGGCACTGAAAGTTGGCAGCCAGGCTCTGGGACCCAGGCAGACACAGCCCTGCCTGCCTGGCTCGCACTGCCCCTACTCCAATAACAGACTGGGCACCAGAAGGGTGCCCAGTTCTCCCACAGATGCTGTCGTCAAGAGCGGTTCGTCACTGTGAAGTCTCTGGAGGTTGGGGCTCTTTAGGAACATCAGGGATCTGAGCCTTGGCTGAAGGGAACAGAGTAGGGGAGGGTTGAGAGTAGAGATAAGGTGATGTAGGCTAGCCTGTGGGAAGCAGGTGTAGGAACTCTGTTCTACAAACGGGGTGCTGTGGGGCCATTTGCAAGCAGGAGAGGAAACTAGGGACCAGAGACACTGAGGCCAGGTAAGAGATGACGCTGGTTGGGTGATAGCTTGGGAGGCAGTAAAAAACAGAAGGATTTAGGGGCACATAGAGGATGGATAGATGCACCCAGCATTTGCCCCCCAATGAAGAATGGGGACTTCTAAGCGGCCAAGTGTTTGGCGTGAAGGAGATAGGGTCCACCTTGGCTATGAGGAATGCACGAGGATCCAGAGAAATACTTTACAGGCAGAGAACAAGCTCTCCCTCCTCCTCTTGGTCCTCCTTCTTCTCTCTATAGGGGAATACTTTAAAGGCCTTCTCTCTTTCCTCCTCTTTCTGCTGTAATGGGAATTGAACCCAGGGCTTTGTGTATCCCAGGCAAGCATTCTACCATTGAGTTACCTCCCTAACCATATTCTATTACTATTTTGAGACAGGGTCTCACTAAGTTATCTAGACTGGCCTTGAACTCAACTCTATATTCCAGGCAAGTCTTGAACTTGTGATCCTTCTACTTCAGCCTCCCAAGTAGATTTCATTACAGGCCTGTGTCACCAGGCCCCACTCTACAGTCTTCTATAGGTCTTACAGAAATGGAGCAAAATGAAGCCTGACCCTGGGAGCAGGTGAATGGGACCTCAAGGGCCCCACCGTGAAGTATAGTGTGGACAAAGTACATGCTTTGTGTCAGACCCAAGCTGCTCTTAGCCACCTCCAGTGAGCAGCCACTCACTCAGCCTCTCTAAAACTGCTCTTTTCCACATGACCCTCACTGATTTTTCATGAGGACTGCCTCAGGAATGCTGTGACACAAGCTACAGAGGATAAAGCATGGGCTTTGTAGTCCTAACCTTGGCTAATTCAGACAGAACCAATGCAGACCGAGCACTGACTGCATCCATTCATGAACAGTACCTGGTTCACAGCCAGTGACCACAGGGAGAGGGTGAGGGTGAGGTGTCCCTCAGGTAGTCATGAGAAGCCTCCACAAGACCTCCACTGAAGCCTGGGCTTGCACCCAGGCCTGGGCAATGTCTTTCCCACACAGGTCCCTGGCACCACCCAGTGCTCAGCTCAGACCCTCAAGGTAGCCAGGCCAGAAGTGTCCCTCCTCAGACACCAGGCTGATCCAGGGGAAGATGGGGAGCCCGGTGCACCGAGTGTCACTGGGGGACACCTGGAGCAGGAAAGTCCATCCTGACATAGACAGCGAGAGGCACAGACAATCCTTCAACGTGGAACGACTCACCAACATCCTTGACAGAGGTGTTGAAAATACTGTGCTGCGGAGAAAAATTGGTAAGAGGAGGCTAGGGGCCAACAGTCTGCTTTGTACCTGCATGCTTTTCTAGAACACACCTTTAACTAGTGCTGCTTTTTTTTTTTTTTAAATGTATATGAGTGTTTTGGGGGTTTTTTTGTTGTTGTTTTGGTCTTTTTGAGGCAGGGTCTCCCTGTAGCCCCAGCTGTCCTGGAACTCACTGTGTAGACCAGGCTGGCCTTGAACTCACAGAGATCCACCTACCTCTGCCTCCCAAGTGCTGGGATTAAAGGCGTGCGCCACCACGGTCGACCTTTTTTTTATGTGTACAAGTGTATTGCCTGCATGTGTGTAAGTGTACCTGTATCGTACAGTGCCTGTGAAGTCAGAAGAGGGCACCAGATCCCCTGGAACTGGAGTTACAGATGGTTGTTAGCTGCCATGTGGGTGCTGGGAATCGAACCTGTATCCTCTGCAAGAGCAGCCAGTGCTTTTAACCACCGAGCTATCTCTCCAGCCCCATTGTTTGTTGTTTTGAGACAGGGTCTCATGTGGCCCAAACTGGCCTCAAACTCGCTATATAGCTAAGGATGACCTCAAACATCTGGTCTTCCTGCCTCTATATCCCAAGAGCTGGCATTACATATATAAACCACCATGCCAAGTTTATGTGGCACTGTGGCTCAACATAGAATTCCATAAATGCTAGCAGGCATTCTACAACTGAGCTATATCCATAGCCCCAGTCCAAGTAATAAATTGGCCTTTGGCATGCCACTGTCCTAGGCAGCAGAAGACCTGGATGCTGGTCCTGGTTCTATCACTCCCTAACTTTGCAGCCATGGACAGGCCACATTTCTCACTTTGGGAGCCTCAGTTGTTTCATCTTTTAAATGACAGTGACAACTGACTTCCTTTCCAGCAGGCAAGTCGGGGGAAAAGTGAAGGTGCCAGGAACCTCACCCAAGTCCCCAAGCCCTCTCTGTTCTATCTCCTACAGAAAGCATCATCCAGGGAGACCCAGTGTTCAGCATAAAGGACAATTACTTCATGACCAAGAATGAACTCTATGAGGCTGCCATTCAAAAGAAATTCCACCTTGAGATGCTGGCCCAGCGCCTGGGCTGGTCAGAAAGAAGTCGGGAACAAACCTACGCTTACAGGTGGTCACTCCAGGGCAGCCCCACCACAGAGGACTTCACCAGGGACTGCCTGTAACCCCCAGTCCCATGAGCCATTTTCCTCAACAAAGGACTTACTTGGAAACCAGGATTCCAGATGCCCCTTCCCTCCTGCACCCTGCCCAGGCTGAAGGTATATGAACCCCTGTCTTCCATAGGTTACTCAACCAAGGTATCTCTCCTCCACAGAGCCATTTCTGGACAAGTGAACTTAAGTGTACATAATGTCTCCATGAATGCTTTAAAAAGCCTGGGCTCAGATGAGCAGATTGCTAAATGGGGCCACCTCTTCAAAAACTTCCAAATCATTGCAACATATGCCCAGACAGAACTGGGACACGGTAAGCCAGAGCCCCTGTATGCACTGCACAACTCCAGAGGGCCCATTTATATCTCATAGACTTGGGCTAGGGATGTAGCTAAGTGACAGAGTGCTTACTTAGCATGTGTGAGGCCCTAAGTTCGATGCCCAACACACACACACACACACACACACATGCACACAATTTTCTAATCATATTTCATAGATTTGTATGTTAATGATTTGAATGCTAATTTGAAGACATCCTGGCAGATGGCAGTCAAGGGACTTGAGGATGGTGGCTTTTTTCCAATTTGTAACAAATATATTGTATGAGCTACCAGAGGGGCAAGTTGTTTCTTCTGGAAGCATCTACATGCATCCATGTGATGTCACAGAGCCCACAGGTAAAGGTGAGAAAGGCCTGTGACTACAGGGAAGAGCTGACCCTATTCCACACTTGGCCCAGGCCTACCTAGAAGCTGCTCCCAAGTGAGGATTCCACCTTGACCCAATGTCTAACTCCCCTCCTTGATCCCAAGGGACGTACCTGCAGGGCCTGGAGACTGAAGCCACCTATGATGCAGCCACCCAGGAGTTTGTGATACATAGCCCCACAATAACTGCCACTAAGTGGTGGCCTGGGGACCGTGAGTATAGTCCTCTTCCTTCCCTGTCTCTCCCCAGTGAAAATAAAGTTGTGGCAGAGTAACACTAACTTGATTTCCTGTTCTAGCTGGTCACCTTGAAGTCAACTCATTCTCTTGAAATAGGTGGGATGTTAAGAATTTCCTTAGTAAGTGTCCCACAGCCTGTGGGGAATGAGAGACAAGGCCACACATATATTCACACTGCTCCCACACAACACATGTATGTATGTACACAACACACAAACACACTGCCCCCACACATACATGTACACATACACAACACACATATTGCCCACACACGTACATGTGCCCATCACACAGAGACACGCATGTGCATGTATAGAACATACACTGCCCATACACAGACATGTGTAGAGATACACACCACACACACTGCCCCCCCCAAGCACACAGGTGCAGACACACAGCACACCCATACACATACGCACATACAACCTAGTCTTGTCCCAAGGGCTTCCCCCATGACCTCAGATGCTCTAGGCTTCCAAATATGCTTGCCACCTGCAAGAGCATATGTCCTGTGATTAGTTAGTAGCTAAACACCCTCCCTGGCCCTCCTCTGCCCTAACCCCTGCTGCTCCACACTCAAACAAGCTCCAATCACACGGACACCATGTGGCAGACCCACCAAGTATCTCTCAGTTCCAAAGGCACCTTCTTTGGGCTTGAGAGGTCATCCCTAAGGACACATCTGTGGCACTTGGAAATCCAGTGAATGAATACCTGGTGTGGAAATTAAATAAATAAATTATAAAGGTGAGGAATCCAATCAAAGAAGTAGGGTGGCAGGTGAGAGACAGAAGAGAGGACAGGACATAGAAAAGAGAGAAGAAAACAGAGGCGGCAAAAAGGGGGAGAGGGAAAGGAGGAGAAAGGTGAGTGAATGAATTATCATTGCCAAAATTGCAGGGACAAGAAACTGATCTTTAAGATCAGGTCAACTGGGATTCAGATTCCAGCTCTGCCCCCTCCCCACCCCACCCCAGGGCAATGAACTTCAGCATGTCACTCTGCAGTCTGCTCCTCAGTTTCCTTATGGGGAAAATAAGACTCATCTTACCTGCCCTGCAAGAACTAGGAAAACTCAGCAACAGCTAGGTTTTTATATGTGATGGTTGTGCTCATTATTATGAGGCTGACAGCACAGTGACTCGTTAGCTATTGTGGTGGTGAGCTTTTAAAAATTCTTTAAAAGCTTGGGGCTAGAGAGATGGCTCTGCAGTTAAAAGCACTGGCTGTTCTTGCAGAGGACTTGGGTTTGGTTCCCAGCACCCACATGACAGCTAACAACCCTCCTTAACTTCAATTTCAGGGGATCTAATACCCTCTTCTGGCCTCCACAGACATTGCATGACACAGGTGCACTTACATACATGCAGGCCAAGCATTCATTCATACACATAAAAATGAAGAAATCAAAAAAAAATTTTTAAAGCTCTCTCACTGAAGACTTCTTTGCCAAGCCATGCTAGTTTTGTTTTCTGTGGCAATTCCTCCTGTTATCAGTGACTTTCCAAGGCCCCAGAGGCACCCATCTGCAACCACAACCTCAGGGGACTAGGCAGGGACATGGTACACAGATCTTCCTATGATAAACTTCTCATTTTCTGCCTAAGTGGGACGGTCAGTCACCCATGCTGTGGTCCTGGCCCAGCTGATATGCTCAGGAGCCAAGAAAGGCATGCATGCCTTCATCGTACCCATTCGGAGCCTGCAGGACCATAGCCCGCTGCCAGGTAAGCCCTGCTTCCTCAAGGATTCCTCCTGAGAAAGAAGGTCCCACCAACTTGCTCCATCCTGAAACCCTGAGAGATGCAGGGAAGAAGCTAGAACATAGCTCCTTTGGCTAGAAGGGGGCCAGTTGATAGCTGGTGTGAGCTGGCTGGTTGATTGGCACAAGATTCAGCATCTGTCTGGCCTCAGCTTGCCTACCTGCAGCCCTGGTACTATGATCTGGAGTATGTGTATGTGTCCTTGGCACACTGCAGTCAACTAATAGGCATTCCCATTCTTCCCCCTTCTAGGAATCACAGTTGGGGACATAGGGCCCAAGATGGGCTTGGACCACATAGACAATGGCTTCCTGCGAATGAACCATGTGCGAGTCCCCAGGGAGAATATGCTGAGTCGCTTTGCAGAGGTCAGTGGCCTGGGAGGGCTGTGGACCCAGACAGCCTAGGAAGGGGATTTGCACTTGCTACAGCTGCCACAGAGTCTACCTCTGCAAAGCTGAGTTTGGACCACTTTCTCCCCCTCCTGCCTTCCAGAGCAGCTCAGGGATCCCACAGACCAGGATAAAACCCAGGAGCACAGTGGTCTTAGGCAAATCTCTGCCTCCTTAAGCCTCAGATTTCCCCTGTGTAAATGATTATCACATGAGGGGGAGTTTCAGAGAAGTCATGGGGTACAGTGGCAAGGCAGTCTTGAGAAAGGAATGGGGCTGAGAATGAACGCATGAACTTTCCCACAGTCTGTCACTGAACCCACTAGGTGCTGTCAGAGGCCCTGCTAGGCAGCCTTTACCTCTTTAGGTATAGGTGGGAAAGTCTCATGGAAGCATTTTTGTTTGTTTTGTTGGCATTTTTTGTTGTTTGTTGTTTTGAGACAGGGTCTCCCTGTAGCCTCAGCTGGCTCAGAGCATGCTATATAGACCAAGCTGGCCTTGAACTCACAGAGATCCACCTGCCTCTGCCTCCCAAGTACTGGGATCAAAGGCATGCACCACCGTGCCTGGCTTGGAAGCATTTTCAAATATCAGGAATCATGTGGCTGTACCAGGGGTCTTCTCCAGGTGACCAGAAGCAGTGTGCTACAGGGGTAGAGGCCTGTGCTTATGGGGATACTACAGACTGCAGAGCCTTACCTCCCACCCAGCACCTGTCTTTGCTTCATACAGGTCTTGCCAGATGGTACCTACAGGAGGCTAGGGGCACCACAGAGCAATTATCTGGCCATGGTGGTGACACGGGTGCAGCTGCTGTTGGATGGAATCCTACCCTACCTCCAGAAGGCTTGTGTCATCGCTGTGCGCTACTCGGTCATCCGACGCCAGTCCCAGATTCGGCCTAGGCAAGGGGCACACAGGGGCTAACAAAGACAGACCTGGCTGATGCTCAGACCCAAAGTGCCTGCCCCCTAACACCACCTCTGCCAGAGCCAGGGTCCTGGAGCAAGTTACACACATACACACATGCATGTATGTGGTCCAGACCCGGCTCCGGCTGACACTGTTGATGGGATCTCTAGCTCCTCTCCCCCTGCCAGTCTGGTGGGCCCGACCTGCCTCTTGTCTGTGTGGCCCCATCTGACTCTATGTGACTGTGTCTTTTAATCTGCATCACCTGATCCCTGATCTGACTCAGGTTATTTGTTGAGTCCCAGTTTGTCCTATGTGTTTGTGAATGGCTACTGAGTCTGGGTCTGCCAATTGCCAAGACTGGTTGTTTATTGTCAGGTTGTGTCTGGTGAAGCCCAACTGTCTTAGACTGCATGTGGCTAAACCTGTGCTGTCTGGTTGAAAGTATCAGCACCTTGCTATGTTAAGACTAAGTCGAGACCCCTTTCATTATGCTAATCGTATCTGGCTACTGTTGGCTCCATTCCAAGACACAGAGTGGCAAGGGCTACTCTTTGCCAGTCTGTTTTAGCCTGTATACACAGAGAGAGAGAGAGAGAGAGAGAGAGAGAGAGAGAGAGAGAGAGAATTTCCAGAGGGAAGATACTAGTTAAATTGAAATTTCAGGTAAACAGAAATCTTTTAGGATATGTCCCAGATGGACACAAGCCCTCAGGATACAGCAAACTGAACTGAGAATAGAAAGCAGGGACAGAGCAGGTCATGGCCTAACAGCCCTGATGACCATCCCCAGCCTGAGAAGAACCTCCTAGGCCTTGTGTTCAATCTGCTCATGGTGAGGTCTCCAGGTCCGAGCTTGTGAACACCCAGCACTAGGGCCTGGTGTTATTTCATGCTGTGGACCCCAGGATCTGCACCAGCCTACCTGACATAAAACAGATAGGATTTATTCCTGGCAAGCCTGGACACCACAGCTTCCAAGTCTGCAAAATAGGGGTAATAGCAGCAGAGCTTCAGGGTGGTCTTGAGGGTGAGATACAGTAAGGAAGGTGGGCTTATAGCCCATGTGCCCTTCTTCTGGCAACTCGTGGTAGCTTCATTGCGAAGCCTGGGTTTCTAAATCCCAGGCTAGGGGGCATCTCCCTAGAGAACAGGATACTGGGAAGAAGGTGGTGGTTGTGGTGCTGCCACTGCTACTGACCTGTAGCCCATTTATCTGAACTGCAGAGGTGTCCCAAGAAGTGCACGTCAAGTAAGATGGATCTGCTGCCCAAGGAGACTCCAAGTTCCCGTCAGCTATGGGGGCTTCCCACAGCCACACTATCTCCCAATCCATAGTTCCTCAAGCCTCTACATTCTGGGAATAATCCCGGGCACTGAGGACACAGCAGTGGACATGGACAATACAGTGTATTTCTTGTGTTTCTTTGGGCCCAACTCTTAAGAGTTGTTAAGCTCAACACTTTTCCAAGCACACAGCAAGTGCATAATAAGTCACGAAAGGTTGTGAGTTCAAGTCATCAGGGATGCAAGGCAACACTTCACCTGGTCCTTGGGTCCAGATGGTTTAGAGTTCAGAGAAACCTTTCAGATTTTAGGAGACTGTATTATGTCATTTTGTAAGACGCCTTTCAAGAGGCAATACTTCCAAGCAGGTGTGTATTTCTAGAGTGAACTGTATGGATGTTGGTGTTAGGTGAGGCTTTACAAGACAACAGCCTCCAGTCAGTCTTGCAATGAGTTTGTTCTTATGGCCTTTACAGTGTCAGGAATATGGGAAGTTGTATGTAGCATGGGGGCAATATCCTGAATTTCTGCTTTTTTTCCCCTTAGTGACCCAGAGGCAAAAATCCTGGACTACCAGACACAGCAGCAGAAACTCCTCCCTCAGCTTGCCATGTGTTACGCCTTCCATTTTCTGATCCTCGATCTCTTAGAATTCTTCCAGATCGCCTACAGTGCCATTCTGGAAAGAGACTTCAGCCTTCTGCCTGAGGTACCTACTGCCTGTTGAGGACAGCTGCCTTGGGAACACCTCTCTAGGAAGGGGGCTAACACAGTTCCAGTTTCTGGGAATTGGCCACAGGTTGGCTCCCATGGGCTCTCACCACCTTCTTTAGTCTCCCAACACTTCAAGGACATCAGGGTGAACAATACCCATTATGTAAGTCTACACACATCGTGCTCCTAGAGAGCTCCAGCAACAGTAGAGGAAACAACAGTGTAGAGAACACAGATCTACAGTGGATACCAAGAAAAAAAAACTCCAGAACCAACTCATTTGGCGGCACAGTTTCACCTGACCTGACCTGACCTGGTTCACTCAACTAGCTACAAAAGCAACAGACATTAACGTGCTCACTGGCCAAGGCTTCCGGTGCCCACCATGGAGGTGATATACGCACACCTCAATTTTGCCTTTCTAAAGTCCAAAACTTATTCTGATTCTAAAACACATCAGGCCCAGAGAGAGCAGGGTCTCTTTATCAGCCACTGTAACTTGCACTTTCAATCAGTCTGCCCAGGCACTGTACTTTTTAAGCACTGTTTCAATAGAATTCATCACTGACATCCCCATTTTACAGGTAAGAAAACTGAAACAGAAAGATAAACTGACATGATCTTCCTTCCAAAAATGTGAAAGTTTGAAAGATGGCTAGGCGCTTTCAAGAAAAAAATTTATACCAGGCTGCTATCTGGCAACTTCTCTGTCAATCTGTTTGGCTGCTCTAGCTGACTCCTATAAACTAGGTGGCTTGTACATGACAAATTAATTTCTCACTGTTCTGGAAATGTCTAGCCTCTGTCATGATGCCACTGTTTGGTAAGTAAGAGGGCATCACATGCAAGAGAAAGAGTGGGACAGCACTGGGAGAGCTCAGTTTTATAACAAAGCCACTCCCACATTACATAGCACAGCATTAACCCATCATGACAGAAGAGCCCTCGCTTAAAATAGTTAAGACGGCAATTATATGGCCAGTGAAATGGCTCGGTGGGTAAAGGCACTTGCTGTCAATCCTGATGACCTAATTTCGTCATATAGTATATATCGTCTCCACGGTGGGCTCTAGGAAGTCTTGGCAATTGACCACATTAGTGTCTGTTATATTTGTAGTTAATGGAATAAACCAGATCCATTTGTGTCAAACTGTGCCCCCCAAAACTGCCCCCAAATAAGTTGGTTTTGGAGGTTTTTCCTTGTTTCTATTCCACACTGGGATTGTAGATCTGTGTTCTCTGTACTAGTGTTTCCTCTTAACATTGATGGAGCTCTCCAGAAGCCTGATGTGTGTGGACTTACATATTATAACCCACACAGTAGAAGGAGAAAACTGATTCCCATAAGCAGTCCTCTGACCTCCACACACAGTACAAGTGTGCACACACACAGGTACACACAAATAGATAAACGATAATTTTTTTAAAGATGTCAATTCTGTCTCAAGACGTTTTAGAGATCTGACCATTATACAGCCACTAACGCTCCTCATGAAGTGTTCAGCTTTATAACCTCATCCCTCCCAGAAGCCCACCTTGTCATACCATCACCTTGGGGGTTGGGATTTCAACATGAGTTTTGGTTGAACACAGTTGTAACATGGCACCTCCTACAACCAGGCGATGGGGCCGATGGTAGATTCAGGTCCTCTAAGTCAGCTTTCCATACCTCTGCTTGCTGGCAAGCTTGATTCCTGTAGGATGGTGGGTTCAATGTAGCAGTCCCCTCTTCTGGCCAGGACAGGTTTTCCTTAGTTCTTATGGCCCCACCCACAGCCATACTATCTAACTGTGACTTTGGGTGAACCATAACCTCTCAGAGTATCAGCTTCCTCTCTCATGAAGCAGTGAGCTAAGGAGGCCACTAACTTCAGAGTCATGGTCAATATGCAACTGGCACTACACAACAAGTCCGGTTGGACTGCAGGGCCCTTATACCACCTGATCTTCTTGCTCTTACAGCTCCACGCACTGAGCACCGGTATAAAAGCCATGCTGTCGGACTTCTGTGCCCAGGGAGCTGAGATATGCCGCAGGGCCTGTGGTGGCCATGGCTACTCATTGCTGAGCGGTCTGCCAACACTGGTCAACCAAGTGATAGCCTCTTGTACCTATGAAGGCGAGAACACAGTGCTTTACCTCCAGGTGGCCAGGTAAAGTCCAGACTGGTTCAGACTTTGCCTTACCCTTGGGGGTCATCTAAGCTTCTGCTCAGCCTAAGCCTAAGGCTGATGCCTGTGGGGGAGGTGGACTTTGCTTGTTTTTTTAAAAAAATATTTTATTCATTACTTTTATTTTATGTGTATGCATGTATTGCCTGCATGTAGGTAACTGCACCCATGTCGTGCAATACCCACAGAGGACAGAAGAGGTTGTCGTCAAATCCTCTGGAACTGGAGTTACAGACAGTTAAGCTGACATATGGGTGTTGGGATCTAAACCCCAGTCTTCTACAAGAACAACAGTGTTCTTAACTGCCGAGCCATCTCTTCAGTCCCGGTTTTGTATTTTTTAAGGCAAGGTTTCACTATGTAACTAACCAAGGCCAGTCTGGAATTCACTATGTAGAACAGGCTGGCCTCAAACTCAGAGATATGCCCGCCCTCTGCCTCCTGTGAGCGGATTAGAGGTGTGTGCCACTACCTCTGGGGGATGCAGGCTTTGGGAAAGTACCTTTGAGGGCTGTCCAAATTCCAGTGTGTCCCAGTCTACCCCTATCCCAGATCCCCTGCTACTCCCAGCCAGACCATCCCTGTGTCTTACTCAGACAACAACATTGGTCTCCTCTCTGGGCTCCTGTTCTCCCTTGCCCACTTCTCCATGGACAGCCAGAGGGATCTTTTCAAAGTCTAGAGAAAATCACATTTTTCATGCTTAAAAGAGTTCATCAGGAGGCTGAAGAGATGGCTCAGCAGTTAAGAGCATTGGCTGCTCTTCAGAGAAATGGAGTTCAGATTCTAGCACCCATATGGCACCCACAACTATCGATAGTTCCAGGGGATTTGGCACCCTCTTCTAGCCCACCAGCATTGCACTTATGGGGGCACTTACATACATGCAACACATATACAAATAAAAAAAAAATATTTTTAAAGGGTTCATTGGCTTCCCACTACTTGAAGGAAAGTGCCACGGTGTACACTGTGGTCTCTAAGTCATGACTCAGTCACTGCCGTGCTACCTACCTATCCTACTCCCATAACCTCCTGCCTCTGCCAGTGACACACTGCTTTGCACAGGACCCTTGCCCTTGCTCTGCTGCCACTCAACATTGCCTGTTTCCTTTGGAAATTGTCATGATCTATAATTGTCTACAACTTTTGCTTACCTTTTTAGCTCTGCTTCTGGCTAGACTCGAATTTCCTCGAGGACAGGTGCTTCCCTGCCTTGCTCACTGTGGTATCTCCGGCTCAGCACATAACATGCTCAAAAAAATTTCCATCTGAGAGGTGGGAGGAGGCCCCGCCAGCCCCCTCCAAACAGGCAGTTTCTTGTCAGCTGCCTCTCGGGACTGATTCTCTCATTCTCATTTATTCTCTGGCGAGTAAACAGGGCAGATACGTCTGTATTCAAGGAGGGCATTTACTAGCAAATATGACACATAACATTTCTTGGGGTTTTCTTTTTCAAATTATAAAAATAATACAATAGTGCAGGGCGTGGTGGCGCACGCCTTTAATCCCAGCACTCGGGATGCAGAGGCATGCGGATCTCTGTGAGTTTCAAGGCCAGCCTGGTCTACATAGTGAGTTCCAGGACAGCTGGAACTACAGGGAGACCCTGTCTCAAAAAGACCAAAAAATAAATAAATAAAATAATAAAATAATAATAATAATAATAATAATAATACAATAGTATGCATTAGGCAGCCTCTGACCGGCACATCACAAGTATCTTGTTCAGTTTCACACATATAAAGGCCTCATGAAGGCTTATGTTTAGGATCTAAGGGAGTCTAGCTGAGATGTGCAGCCTCATGTTACTTGTTAATTGGTGCTGGAGAGATGGCTCAGTGGTTAAGAGCACTGGCTGCTCTTGCAGAGGACCTGGGTTCGATTCTCAGCACCCATATAGCGACTAACAACTGTCTGTAACTCCAGTTCCAGGGCAATCCAACGCCCTCTTCTGACCTCTGCAGGCACTGAATGACACAGGTGTACTTTCATGAATTCAGGGAATAGACTCACACACATAAAATAAAAATAACAAATAAATTTAAAAAAGATATTGGAGCTGGAGAGATGCCTCAGCAGTTAAGAGCACTGGCTGCTCTTGCAGAGGACCAGAGTTTGGTTCCCAGCACCCACATGGTGGCTAACAACCATCTGTAACTCCAGTTCCAGGAGATCTGACACCCTCTTCTGATTTCCATAGGTAATGCATAACACAGGTGCACTTAACGTACATGCAAAAAAAACTCATACACATAAAAAAATCGCCTGGCTTGGTGGCACGCGCTTGTAGTCCCAGCACTTGGGAGGCAGAGGCAGGTGGATCTCTATGAGTTCAAAGCCAGCCTGGTCTACATAGTGAGTTCCAGGGCAGCTGGGGCCACAGGGAGACCTTGCTTCAAAAAGACTGAGAGAGAGAGAGAGAGAGAGAGAGAGAGAGAGAGAGAGAGAAACTTTTAAAGAAATTGGTGCATTGGGTGTGCTTCACAAAGGACACACAAGAAGGCATAGGGGGCTGGAATAGAAAGTGCCCATCAAAGGGTAGCTAGGAAGAGACCTGGAGCCCTTGGTTCTCCCCTGAGGATGCTGGAGCCCAACATAAAAGTGCAGCTGGGGGGGGGTGTCCCACAGAGCACCCCACTGTCTCATCTGTCTCTGCTCTCACCCTCAGATTTCTGATGAAGAACTACCTACAGGCTCAGGTGTCTCCAGGCTCCACAGAACAAAAGTCTCTTCCTCAGTCTGTCATGTATCTTGCCACACCAGGCCCAGCTAGATGCCCAGCCCAGACAGCAGCCGATTTCCTCTCCCCAGAACTCTATACCACAGCCTGGGCACATGCAGTGACCAGGTAAGCCCGTGTGAAGAAGTCATTATCCCAGCCACAGGTGGGCTCCTTACCATGCTAAGACCTTTAGGATCAGTTGAATGGACACTAGTGGACAGTCCTCAACAAACTTCACCCATCCCCAGCTTCCCTGGACCTCTCAGCTCCTAGTACCATGGGTGGAGAAGATGGGCCACCCACCCACCAGCCATCTCCCACCATCATTTTCTTATCATGGTCATAGTGGTAGAAGGACACCACCTCTCTGGTCAGTGAGGGGAATTTTTTCAATCTTTAGGCTTCTATGGTGATTTTGAATAGAATGAATACACGCATACATAAGCCCTGTAAATGATTTTATTTGCAAACTAATACCAACAAGTAAAGCTGTACTTGTAAGTCTAAAATATCCCATAATCTAAATGTAATTTTCAGGGGCTGGGGAGATGGTTCAGTGGATAAGAGTGCTTGCTTACTGTGCAAACATGAGGATCTGAGTTCGAATTCCCAGTACCATGTTAAAAAAAAAAAGAGCCAGGCATGGTTGTGCATGCTTGTAACCCCAGCACTATGTGGGGCAGAGACAAGAGAGAGACTGGGACTTGGTAGCTGCTAGGCTAGCTCCAGGTTCAGTGAGAGACCCTGTTGCAAGGAAGAGTGATAGAGGAGGACACCCAACATCCTCCTCTGGCCTCTGTGCAGGTGCAAGCACGTACACACACACACACACATACACATATACATCTACCACCTACACACAAATAAATAAATAATAAAAGTAATTTTCAAAAGTGTGACTGTACCTCAGAATAGAATTGGTTTATAACCAGGGTCTAGTAGGCTCCCGGGAACATTATCAAAACCAAGGACTCTGGGCTGGAGAGATGATTCAGTGGGTTAAGAGCATTTATTACTCTTGTAGAGGACCTAGGTTCAGTTACCAGCACCCATGTCAGGTGGCTTACAACTGCCTGTAACTCCAGTTCCTGGGAATCTGATGACCTCTTTTGACCTCCGCGGGTACCTGCACACACATGGTGCACATAAACTCACTCAAGCACATATACATACACATAATTTTTTTTAATCTTAAAAGAAAAAGAACATGAATCCTTGAAGAAAAGAATAAAAAAGACTCATGCACTCTATCATTCAACAAATATCAAGAGATACCAACTATGTGTCAGAAATGACTAGGATATTCTAGGGGCTGGAAAGAGAGAGACATCCTAACCAACCAAACACAGGCACCATCACAGAAGAGATTCAGCTACCTAAAAAGGGAACCTTCTGAACTCTGCTCCAGACTGAAGCGTCCAAAACTGGAGAGCAAGAGCCCATTTCCAGCATGCACTAAGCAGTCTTCTATTCCAGCCTGTGTCCCAGAGAGGATAGTAGTTATTTTAGGATCACAAGCAACTTAAGACATCTACTTACTTATTCCACAAACACTTTTAAGTGCCTACAGTATGCCAAACACTGTACTAAGAACTAGGGATCTACCAGCAAACCAGTCTTAGAGAAATCCCAGGCTCACAGAGCTAACGTTGTAATTGGGAGCGTTAGGGAAGGGAAAGAAAAACTGATGGGGAGCTAAAATGCCATTATATGTCTCCTTGCTTGAAATTCAGTGTGCATCTGACAAATGTTCCCTGACAAAGCAAAGTAAGTGTTGCTTAATAAACTTGGCTTTAACCCAGATTCCAAGGGTCAGACAGACATACAAGGAGTAGAAAACAGGTTAGACTAACTCCTGGCTTAGAGGACAGGAGGCGGTTTTTTGTTTTTGTATCTAGGGCTCTCAGATAGGACATGCAGCAGGTGGGGTGATGGACTCTGGCCTCATTAGCCTTTGAAGAAAAACAATTGTCCTTGCTCCAGCCATAGGAAGCCAGTCAACAGAACGGCCTGAAACTATTAGTATCTGGGTGCTCCTGGTCTAAGGCTTAAAACACTAGGAGGCTGAGGCAGGAGGGTGGGGAATTCTAGGCCACTCTGGGCTACCTAGAAAGACCTTGTCTCAAAAGAAAAATCCTGGCCCCGTTCCTTTCTAGCTAGTGACCCTGAGCAAGTTAACCTCTGGGACTCGGTTTTTCCCATTGTAAATTGGGAATTCCTGCCCTTAAAAAGATGGTTATGAAGCAGTTAGCTTTATGACATGTAAGAGGCCAATAAATGCAATTATTTCTATTTCTGAGGAACCCCAGAAGCCCCTCAGTTATCTTCCTCAGTCAGGATGGTGAACCTTCTTTCCTTGGCTTCTAGGCTCATAAAGGATGCAGTACACAACACACAGGCCCTCACACAGTCTGGAGTTGATCAGCACAATGCCTGGAACCAGACCACTGTCATACACCTCCAGGCTGCTAAGGTGAGCTGTTGGCCATGGGGAGCGGGGAAGGGGAAGAATCTGTTCTTTTTCTCAGCTGGCCACTGTGCTGAGAAAACCCAAGTTCGTGTTCTCCAGCCCTGCTCTACCATGACTGCCCTCATTTCACATCCAAAGCTTTAGTTCAGAGTGTTTTAATTAAAAGACTTAACTCCCAGGCCACTTGCTGGCAGCTCTTAGGGGGAAAGGTAATGAGGCAAAGCTATTGGATTTGCTTCAGGTTGTTCAAATAGTTCCTCCCAGACAGAAAAGCAGGTCAAGTCTCCCCTTAGCCCCACAGGCAATCCTTGGATAGCTGATTCAATTTCCATTACATTTTTTTGTTTGTGCACAATTCACTGTCAGTCGGCAAATATTTGAGTGTCCACTCTGCATAGGCACTGAATACTGAACAGTGAAGACACTGCCCACACCTGGCTATAATCAGGGAAGCACTGGGATAGGATGGGAATGTCTGCTATGGGACCCCTGGATAGGTAAATCACTGGCTATGCCCCTGAGGAATCAGGACTTCCCACAAGAGGAACATGGGGTAAGACTTCAAGGACAAGCTGAAATTCTTTGGACAGATTTCTCAGCAAAGGGAGCAGCAGGCACCAAAGCAAAGGCCAGGTACCTGGGAGGCAATGCACATCCTCCAGAGAGGGAGCCGAAGGAGGACTGAACGAAGATGGGGCAGGCAGGGAACTGAGAGAGGAGTGAGGAGGCCTGAGGCCTTCCACACCACTATAAGAAGCTTGGGTCTTCTTTCCCTTGCAATGGGAAGACTGCCAAGTTATGTCAGGGGAGTGGTCAGAGCTTCATTCCAGAAGAATCATGTATGCTTCAGGGGGAAGAAAGGACTGGAGACCAGTTAGAAAGAAGCAGTGGCAGTCTGGCCAGGCCTGAAGGTGGTCCCACCATGAGTTCGGTGGAGGCCATGGGGAGAACAGGGGAGATGAAGAGACACTACAGGGTAGGATAGACAGGCCTCGGAGTCATGGGGTGGGAAAGAGGTAAGAATGCCTCCAAAGCTGGGGCAGCTGGGATGCTCGCCTGCCAACTGGCAAACTTCAAGTGCTCACTCCAGCCCTCAAGCCACGGCACTAGAAATGGCAGCCTCAGAACAGGGGTGTTCTGGAAATTGTCTGCAGAGGCACTTACTTGTAGGCAAAGATAGGCAGGCTGAGCATGAGTGCCAACTGCTGACCTGTCACACCCTCCAGGGCTAGCACGAACTCCGCAGCCCTCAATTCCTGGGCATCTTAGTTGTGCTCTGTCCACTGCCTGCTGTGTGGAAAGCCCTATTAACCTTGAGTTAGCCAGGGCTGTACACTCTCCTCAGACTCAAAGAAAGGGGCCAAGTTGCCCTATTCATTTGCCTGTCTTCTAAACCTCTGTGCCCCAACTTCAGATGTACCGGCCTCTGCTTGCGAGGTTTCCATCATTTAACATACATAAACCTGTGAGGGACGGTAGTAGACAACTCAGAGGAGTGAAGCCCTAAACGTAGGAAATGAATGAGTCAAGAAGCCTTTCTTTTCCACAGGCCACAAAGGCCCAGTTGTGTCCTCGGGAAGCTTTGATTGTGCTGAGTGACAAAGGCTGAATCTATAGCTTGGGGACACCAAAGACAGGAAGGTCAGCCTGCCTGGAGGAACTAGGCTCTCTTCTTCCTGAAGAGGTGATGCCTAAGCTGAGTCTGGAAGGTCACAGAGTATAAGGCATCCTGTATATTCTGTGCTTTGTGGAATCAGTCACTCTATGGAAAGCTTAAGCATTCAGGTCCTACCCGGAGGCTGTGTATGAGCAGATGAACATGGACTCCAACTTGGGAGAGGAGCAGCATTAGCAAGGGAAAAGCCATGGGCCAACTTCTGGTCCTGCTCTGGATATGACATGTCATATGGCCTCAAGAACTCCCTTCCCTCTGGACTTGACCTTCCCACACTGTCAAACAAAGGGGCATAGAAGAGCCCCTGTAGGTTCTGTCAGGCTTTGATCCTCTAATCTCAGTCCCAAGGGACAACTGGAGCAAAGGCTTCATACAGTCCAGCCCCAATCCCTGGCGACCTTGGGTCTAACCAGGTACCTACTTTGTAGGATTATTGTGAAGACTGAGTCTTCTTTTCCCTGCAATGGAATGTAGAGCTTAAGAGAGAGGCACCCTGCAGTAAAGAATAAGAACGCACCCTTCCCCCAAGGCCTACAGACAGGCCACATGCTCTCTCTGATCCTCACCCTACTTTCCTCTGGCAGCTCTCCCTCACTCAACCAGAGTCCTGAGCATCTGCAGAGGTGGCCCCTGAATTAGAAAGCGCAAGCATGGGGCCCTGGTGACAGAAGTACAGGTCCCCAGTTTTGCCAACCTGGACCCAGCTTGAGTACCAAAGACTGTTTGGGCTGGTAGGGGCTGTACCATCCACTGTTCATCTTCCACACCCAAATGCAAACCCAGACCAGTGTCCAGGTGCCAGGGCTAATTGCAAAGTGAACTTGGTAGTGCCTGTGTGTGGTTTCTCTAACAGTCACTGGATTGCTGGAGGCTATGACTCCCTAGCTCCCACAGAATAAAAATCCCAACCATCAGTCAGCCTGTCACTGACCTGGGCCCCAAACTTCCACAATTCTCTGCCATTACCTCATGATACTGCAAGCATTTCAGCCTTGTGAAATTCCTTGAAAAGTACAACTTTTAAAGCACATAAGGTTGGCCTTGTCTCCACCCCTTGTCCCCCTGGATGAGCTCCTTAGAATCTGTAAGGCACTCTCCTTCCTTAAAGTCACTACCAGCAGCTTAGGCATCACAGGGGAGATGTCAGAAATGCAGTCTGGGGTCACCTGGGAATCTGCATTTCTGGTCTGTGTGCACATGAAAGTCTGAGAGGTGCTGCTTGATGCTCTCTCTCCTCTCCCTTTCTTGTGGGACTCACATATCCTCCTAGATAAAGTGATTACTCCCTGCACCTGTCTTGGGTAGAGGGAGAATAACCAATCTATTTAACAAATAATATAGGCAGAAGTATGGTTCTGAAGGCCTCTGGGACAGGCACTCATCCTTCGGTTGTTGGGCTGAGAGGAGGAGTAACCCCAAGGAAAGAGCCAAACTGGAGAGGGAGTCTCACCGGGTTAGTGGCAGTGGTCACTCACCAACCAGAACTATTAGACTAAGTGATTACTACTAGCCAACAGAGCCAGATCCTCGCACATGAGCTAGAGAACAGCCCTGCTTACGCCAGGGGCTGATTCTCTGGCTACACTAAATTTCGGATAAATCTCAAGCCCTTATGTGCACACACACCATTGCCTTGATGTAGCAAACAATAGGTACCTTCCACCCTGCACGTCCCCCAGGCTAGACTCCAATATTCCACTCCGCTTTCTTGCCACTTTCAAATGCTCTTGCAGCTGCCCTAAGCAAAAGGAAGAATCCAAGGGCCCAGTTCTAGAGCCCACCAGCCCCTAACACACACGCACACACATGCATGTACACATATTCATATCAAAAATGTTCAATCAGACCCCAAGTGAACAACTGGAAAGGTGGCTATTGGTCTTCTCAGACGCACACTTACTCCAGCAATCTCCCCAAGCTTTCAGGGCGACCTGTGAGGCTGAGAATCAGAAATCAGTAGCTAGCCCATCTGTCTTTGTAGGCTCACTGCTACTACATCACTGTGAAGACTTTCAAGGAGGCTTTAGAGAAACTAGACAATGAACCAGCAATTCAGCGGGTGCTCCAACGCCTCTGTGACCTCTGTGCCTTGCATGGTATTTTGACAAACTCGGGTGACTTTCTGCATGATGGCTTCTTCACGGGGGCTCAACTGAACATGGCAAGAGCAGCCTACCTAGATCTGCTTCTTCTGATCCGGTGAGTGGCTGGGCTTTTGACCCATGTCAGCCTTCAGAGTGACCTGACCCTTGTTCGCAGGTCATGTCAAACTCTTAAGACCTTGCTAACTTGGGGTCTGGACAGGCTGACACCCTACAGCATTAGGGCTTAATGAAAGAATGAGAAGAAAGTCAGAAATGAAAATGCTTAAGAATAAATTAGCTACCTCAGTTGAACTCTTCAACACTGTCAAGGAGCACTGTCTAAGGAACATGAATAGAATCAAGGCTGCTACATATGGATGTTAATAATAACAGTCTTAATTATAACTAGCGTGTAATGAGTACTTGTACACCAGGCACTGTGCCAAAAGCTTTTACATACATCATCTCATTTAATCCATATAGTCTTTGAACTGGATTTAATCTCCTGTTTTTTTTCTGAGGAGGAAATTCAGGCTTATGGGAATTAGCTTACCCAGCATTGTACAGTAGGTAAAGAGTTGGAAATACTCTCCGTTCTGTCTGATCACTGAGCTTGGATCCCCCGCCTGAGTATGAAGGTCGGGATTTTGTTTTATTATTAGGTGTATGTTATGTCTATCTCTGTCTTTGTTGAGTGTGCTTTAAGCAAATTCTTACCAAATTTAGTAAATTTACTTTAATACTCCCTTAACTTCAAGATGATTTTTTTCTTAGACTCAGTAATTCCTATATTGATTTATAAAGCAATAATACAAATACTTCTTAAATGCAACATTGATCCAGTACAATTAAGGTCATGAATGGAATCAGAATCATCCTGTTATTTTATGTATAATATAAATATTGCTTTAAGAACATATCAAAACCATGGGGTTGGAGAGACAGCTCAGCAGTTAAGAGCACTGGCTGCTCTTGCACAGGATCCGGGTTCAATTCCCAGCACCGACATGGTGGCTAACAACCATCTGTAACTCGAGTTCCAGGGGGTCTTACCCCCTCTACTGTTCACCTTGGGCACTGCATAACATGAGTGCATAACACTGATACACATAAAATAAATTTTTTTTAAAATTTTTAAAAAGAACATATCAAAACCAAAAGCTGACCTGACCAGAGTACTGGAAGAAACAGGTATTAAAACAATAACACCCCCAATTAAATAAATAATGTAAACAAAAATGTCCCAAAATAGACCCGATACAACTGCATCCGGGTATTAAACTTATCCTAACACAGGGGATCCAGTGCAGGACCCTCAAAAGCATGATTAGTACTGCACAGCTCAGGCACATGCCTAACATTCCAAAATGACTGGCATTTTTAAAAGAAAAGGTGATCTGGCCCTGGTTGGTGATGAGAAGATACAAAGGATCACCTTAACAGCTCATAGGCATGAGTTGGGGGCCTGAGTTGTGCTTGTTTTTTAATATGCAATTAAATCCATTTTTCTAACTGCTTGCGTTGGCTCCAGAGACCTACAGCTCAAGACAGACAACAATGATGTAAGCTGCCAACATATGCACGTCAAACCCACAAACTGATTTATTTACATTATGGTTCCTCAGTTAACTTTCTTACCGCAGGGTAATTAGGCGTAACAGATCCCATGCTCTTAGCAGTTCCTCAAGGCTCCTTGCCTCCATTAGTCACTATCTCCCTGGGATTTCAGAGATGACAAAGGACAGTACACCATTCTAAGTGACAAAATCCAGCTCTCTGTACAGTACTCAAGAGCTGATCCAACTGATTTTCAGTACTGTAAGTGGTCCTAAAACTCTCCACTGAGAGTCTTTCAAATAAAGACGGCAGGCTGAACATAAACATTCATTTCTGTTCCTTCCTGAAACAAAACATCAGCAAAAGGCCTAAAAATACATAGCTTTGTTTTGAGACCTGGTCTCACGTAGCCCAGGCTGGCTTTGAACTGTGTAACTGAGAATAGCCTTGAACTTCTGATCTTCCCACCTGTACCTCCCCAGTGCTGGGATTATAAGCATTAGCCAACACACATAGCTTTTATGGAGTGCTGAGGACCAAACCCAGAGCTTTGTGTATGCTGGGCAAACACTCAGCCAACTAAGTTATACCCCTAGATGCTAAAAGGTTAGAGTTTTTAAAGGTATCAACCCACAAATAAGACAACAGAAGAAATATGAAAGTTTGAGGGCACATGGACTCAGTGCCTGGCAGGCAAGCTGATCAGAGAACCCAGGAGGTAACAGCACTGTATAAGATAGCAGGACGGGATGAATTCCCAGCTCCTTCCTCCCCAGGAGCCTGAAGACTCTCCTTGACCCTGCTCTGCTTAAAGGGTGAACAGTGAGGCTGTGGACCACAGAGCATTGAGCACAGTTGGGAATGAGCCTACCCTACAGAAAACGGGGGGCTTTCCAGACCCAGCACTAATACCTCCCTTCCCAGCACTTTTCCCACTGTTTCCTAGAGGACTGGCAGCCAGGCTGGCACCCTGTATGTATAAAGATAAGATGGGCTTTCAGAGAGCCAAAGGAGGAGATAAGATGGGAGCAGGATCCCAACAACCTACCCAATTCATGCCACAGTGAATCCTCACTAACAAGCAATCCCCAAGCTTCTCCTTGGTGGGGCTAGTTAATACCCCACTGTCAACTACGATCAGACACTCAGGGATCACCAGGCACCCGATGAAAGCCCTTAATATAAAAGATGAGATTCATGGGGCTAGAGAGATGGCTCAGCAGTTAAGAACACTGGCTGTTCTTGCAGGAGACCTGGGTTCGAATCCCAGCACCCACAGGGCAGCTAACAACTGTCTGTAACTCCAGGGGCTCCAACAACCTCTTCTGTCCTCCACAGGCATTGACAACATGGGTGCACTTCCCTACATGCAGGCAATACACGCATACACATAAAATAAAAAAATAAATAAAAAGATGAGATCCAGATGAGCAAGAACAAGGCAACTTGAAGGGCACAGAGAAAACTTTTAAAAAGAAATGAAAAAAAAAATGATATCGTTTAAGAGCTATTACAGCTACAAAATAAGAAAGTATCATTGTTCTAAAATATTCAAACAAAAAAGGACCCTTTTAATTTAAAAAAAAAAAAAGATAAGTGAAAAACTCAGTGTATGCACTGGAAGGTGACGTAAAACCTCACGGAAAGTCAGAGACAAAAGAGAAAAGATTTTTTTAAAAGAGGACCAATCAATACATTTTTTTTTTTTAAAAAAAAGGACCAATCCTGGCTACCCATCCTGTGAAAAACAGGACTAGAAAGACAAGACAGAGAAATCAGAAAGGAGGGAAATCCTTTCTGTTATATAATTAATAAAAATAATTCAAGAAAATAATACAAGTGAAAGATGTGGCGTTTCAGATTGAAAAGGTCCACAATGCACAATGCCTACAAGCAAAAGGGGGCAGACACACACGTGGACAAGTGCATACAGAGGAGGAAAAGCATCCTGGGAAGTGAGGGATGCTGCAGGGAGGGGAGACTGCAGTTCCAAATGTTTTAGTGTTTGTTTCTCATGTGGTGCTAGGGATCAAACCCAGGGCCTTGAACATGCTAGGCAAGTGCTCTACCACTGAGCTATACCTCCAAACCTTTTGATGTTTTAAACAGGCTGAAGAAGGCCTCTCTGGGAGGGTAACATTTGAGGAAAGACCTGAGAGTGGAGAGAAGGGGTTAGAGGAACTGTGTGGCTGCCAGGAAAAGAGCACCCCAAGCTGAGCAGTGTTGGAAGGTCCAAATGTAGGAAGCCAGAATGCCTGGCATATCTACCCAGCTACTGCAGCTACTATATTAAAAATGAGTAATAAAAAGGAGGGACTGGGAGTATAGCTCTGAGGTAGAGCACTTGTTTAGCATGGGTTCAACCCTCACCCCACCCCCTCAAAAAATAGCAGCAGGGAGACAGGTCTGGAAGTTAGTGCAATAATCTAGGTGAGAGATGATCATGGACTGAACCAGAGTGCAATGCTGACATGGTAGGAAGTGGGCAAAATTTGGATATGCTTTGAAAATAGAACAGGATTTAGTGACAGATTATATGGGTACAGGACAAGAAAGAGGACACAAGGCCATCCACTATAAACAGGGAAGACCACAGGAGGGCCAGGTCTGGGCAGGACAGACAAGAAAAGATCAAGCGTTTGTTTCTGGATATGATGCTTTTGAAAAGTCTGTTAGAAATCTAGTGCAGAAGTCAGTAAGCAGGTGACACAGAGGGATAAATTGGGAAGTCACTGGCATGTAGCTGATATTTAAAGCCACAAGACAGATTATTTCACAAGGAGTGCGTGAATGAGAAGTCTTTGGACCCTCCAAACAGTAAGGAGACCTAGACAAGAGCTATTTCAGTAGAGCAGTGGAGGTAAAAGCCTGAATTAATCCAGTCCTTTCTGGAGACAACTGGAGATAAGCAAGCAAAACACTCCCAGTTTCAGTCATCAAGGGAAGCCAGGATCTGGGGTTGATGAGGGAGGAGGAAGAGAGCCAAAAGCTTAGTTTAAGACAAGAGCGATGACAGAGAGTTCTACACTGATGGACATGATTCAGCGGTCTTGACAATGTACAAGAAAGAAATATGTCTGAGCCATCGTGCTCTAGTAGGGAAGTACCAAAGGCACCCAGTGGACAGAGGGTAGGCCTGAGCTGGGAGCACGAAGAGCAGAGCCGACCTGTACTGAGAGGCTGCCGTGTATGTCTGAGGTGGGAACTCCAGTACTTTCACTTAGTGAAATAGGACACGAAAGTCATTCTGGTAAGAGACAGGGAGGTGGTGGTGTAGGTTTGAGGATGGAAGAGAATGAGGGTCAATGAACCAGAGCAATGTCATATGGCAGGTAGCAGCAGGGCCCATTTGAAGTCTTAGGACACCAGTTTAGGCTGGTTTTCTTTCCAGCCATATAATCATAAAGGTGGTGGCATAAAGTCAGTGGAAAACAAGGAGTATGCGGAGTAAACTAGCAGTCAAAGGAAGAAAACCTGCTGGCTGTATTTTTCAGGGGGTGAATACAATGGACCATGGAATACCAGCTGACTACAGAGAGAGCTGAGACCCCAAGGGGCACGGGGGACATTAACCAAAGGGCAGGGCTCGTGATGAGGAATTGCCAAAACAGGATTAAGGGTCAGAGATGGCTCGGCGGGCAAAAGCACTTGCCATCATGCCTGATGACGACCTGAGTTTGATCTTTAGGACCCACATGGCGGAAGGAGAGAACGGACTCCTGCAGTTGTCCTCTGACCACCACATGCATTGCCACATGTGGCTCTAGAGTGCTAGCACACAGATACACTCAAATGAATGCTTTAAAAAATATAATGAAAACAGGTTTGAGTCAGGCATGGTGACTCACACCCTTAATCCAGCACCTGGCAGAAGCAGGAGAAAAACTTTGAATTCAAGGCCAGGCTAGTCTACATAGCAAGTTCTAGGTCAGCTAGAGCTATGTAGCAAGACCTTGTCCCAAAACATAACAAAATAGAAAATCCACAGGGCTAATTAGGTACATCATCCTGCCACTTCAGATACTTTGATGACATACAGTCATCGTAATGTGAACAATGAATATTGGTCTTGTCAAAATTACAACAACTATGTTAGGAGGCAAGAAAGCCCAGGGTCGGACGCATGGGGTTGGGGAGACAGCAGTGAAGAGAGAGCTGCTCAAAGTAAATCCAGCCAAGTCCCAGCAGCTAGGAGGCTAAGGAAGAGGACTATGAGAGTTCCAGGCCAGCCTCAACTGCACAGTAAGATTCTGCCCCTTCCCAAAATCCTTCTATAATAGTCAACTGAAAACATCTAAAACTGAAGCATCAAGATGCTGCAGGCATCACAAACAAGGGATTAGGAAATACTCATGTAAACATCAAAATATTAGCAAAAGAGTAAAACTGCCTCAGGGAGAAGGAGATGGAGGAGACACATTGGAGACAGACTTTTTTTCATTTGTTTTTATTTTTTATTTGGAATTAGGTCCAGTGCTTCATGCACACTGGACAAGATTTTAAGATAATAAGCTTTCAATACATAACTGATTTAAAAACTAAAACCCAAAATAATAAAGCTGAATTGCTCAAACCATGGATAATGATGCACCTTCCAATTACTCTTGATCTGGATTAATCAGATTCCTAAAAGCAATCTAAAACAAACTTGTTTCCTCTCTCAGGAAGGACGCTATCTTGTTAACGGATGCTTTTGACTTCACGGATCACTGTTTAAATTCAGCACTTGGCTGTTATGATGGACAGGTCTATGAACGTCTGTTCGAGTGGGCTCAGAAATCACCAGCCAATACTCAGGTAGTGGGGTGAAATGCATTATAAATTATGTAAGAGAGAAGAGAACAGACAGTAAATACACCTCTGAGCTTTTCCATTTTAATCGATTCCCCCTTAGGTTGAAAATCACTTGGCATAGCACATCTGTTTAAAGTACTTTTAGAGAATACATAAAAGAAGCCAGGGGTGTGGCCTGGCAGGAGCTGAAATCAGCAAAATGTACCGCTCAAAACTTGGAAAGGGAATTAAGAGGAAGGCACAGCTCTAAGTCATGGCCTGACATACCCAGGGGCGGGCACACATAGCAGCAAGCTGGCTTTTAAGTTAACAAAATAAGAAGATAAATCACAGCAGTGGTTAAACCATCTTATTTTCAGCCTTTTAGCTCAGTTTTACGTAGATAAAAAGTGCACATTCTGGTTATCCCAGAACTCTGGTTATCCCAGCCTCACTGGGCAGTGAGGAATGTCAGTGGATACACTGTATTTGGAATTCAGGGAGCCAATATTCAATAGCAGACTTGACACTGATGATCCCAACAGGGACTCTATAGATCTGGAGGCACACACAGAGGTTTTCACAGTGTTGAGTGCTTTAAAATTTATAATGCAAATATTTGTCAGATGGTGAACCTTTCTTTTTTATCTCTTTAGTCCAACTTCAGAAAGGTGACAACAGCAATTACATTCACACCTGGCAAGGTGTTAGATTTGCTCTTAACAATCTGTATTCTGTCACACCTTAACTTAACATGACTGTCTAAAGTTGTAACAACCAGTTACCCAGGATGGTTGTTGGATAGAAGGCCAATCCGTTTCAGTAGGGCCCTACCCCAGGAAGCATCCTTTTGACTCAACAAGGAAATATAAATAGCTTACTTAAATAACATACATGTTTATCTGCCTCTAGTATGTCACTCTCTCCTTGCTAATGCTTAAACACTGGCATAACAATACAACAGTCTTTCCCAGTACAGCCCCCCATGGTCTACAGACAAATGTATGTGCTTGGGTGCTCCAGAGAACTATCTATCCCAGGTACCGGTCAGCAAATGCTGGCAGCACAGAAACATTCCTCTCCCTCTATTCCCCATGGTCACTAAGACCATGGGAGGATGCCGTTTCTCTTCTTTGTTCTTAAAGGCTTTAATCTGGAAGCCATAGCATGCTCCAGTAAATGAGGCATGACTGACCCATCACATCAACCAATTTGCTACAATGCTGGTATATTTCATCCCATTCACTTTTCTCTACCTCCTTCCACTTAACAAAATCAGAACTTCTTCCCCTTCCTGACTACACACTTAAAACACACCAATATGGTTTTGGTGTTTGGGGTTTTTTTTTTTTTTTTTTTTTTTTTTTCGGTCCTTTTGAGACAGGGTCTCCCTGTAGCCACAGCTGGCCTGAATTCACTACAGAGACCAGGCTGGCCTCAAACTCAGAGATTCACCTGCCTCTGCCTCCGGAGTGTTGGAATTAAAGGTGTATACCATCACGCCCAGCACCAATATGGTTTTTTGACCTACACAATCCCCAAGAGCCACTGCGTACAAATGTCACACAAACTCGGCATCCTTCCTTATTTCACCTTGCTAAGACGTGACAGGTGAAGCAATGCGGCTCTTTCACGCATGGCAACTTGGGAATGTGAGGTTACAAGTGACTCTAACTGCAGTTCATCAAAATGATACTTGGATGACCACTAATGTATAGTCACATGATTTTTACATCTCTGGCTTCTTTCAAAAGCACCAAAAATTTTAAAGTCTATTTTTTCATCTGCCATAATTTTGAAGCCGTGATATAGATTTTCATAATAGAAAAAGGCACATTACAGGTATTTTAAATAAAACAGCAGCTACACTGAAACATGCCCTGTAGACACAAGCGTGCAAATGGGAATCTATTTCACTGCCGTCTCTGTCAGAAGTGCTACACTAACTTGTGTGTCTTAGCTTCGTAGGAAAGTGTCTTCCATATGGGGCAGGCTGTGCTGAGCTTCCTCCCTAGACAGGATAATGTGCTCCCTAGGTGTACTCTGTGATACCTGCTTTTGGCTTTCTGCCCAACCTAGATGCTATTTCAAGACAGTCTTTCCAAAGAAAACTGCTAAAGACAGTTCCCCCTCCCTGTCTGAAATCACGTGGAAGTTTCCCCAGGGAAGCAAGAAGAAATCAACAGGTCATTTCAAACCAAGAATCCTTTTTTTATTATTTGTTTTCTGAACAGGGTCTCAATGTAGCCCAGGTTGCCCTCAAACTCATACAGCCGAGGCTAGCCTTCGATTCCAACTCTATCTCCTAACTGCTAGGATTACAGATATATACCACCACATCCAGCAAGAATCCTTTTCTTACAATCACTCTATTGCACAATCTTAAGTGTTAAACACACCCGATTCATTCATTCAATCATTCAATGACTATTTACTGACCTATACTAGTGTGCCAGACTGTTGTAGGTATTGAAGAAACAATGAAGAGCTAGGGTGTAGACCCTATATTAAGGAGCTTCCCTTAATGGTGGACAGGCCAAAAGAAAAAGGGTAAATAAACAAGTAAATATTATAAAAGATGAGGTTTGAGCTGTGAAGGAAAGAATTCAGACATGCATTAGACAATGAGAGAGAAACCTTATTCCAACGTTGAACACTGCCTACCTGATTCAACTTTGATTCCTTGCTTTGTGGTTCATATTCAATTTCAAAGAGCCTCAAATAGCAAAGGCTTTTACTTGTATTAAATTCCACAAGCAAAGATAGCTGTGGGTCTTTCTTTTAATCAGCCACCTGCATACACAGTTTAACATCCGCCTAAGAAGGGAAGGCGGACTTCTGGAAACAGCGTTTCACCATATGTTCACACAAAACGAATCTGAAAAATAATCTGAAAATTAAGAATCTTATGTAATGTTGCTTTTTTGAAGCAAAGTACTTACTTTGAAAGTAAAAGTCATTAATTCTAGCAGAAATATTTTAATAATGCACTTCTTTCTAAAAAACAGGAGAACCCTGCCTATGAGAAATATATCAGACCACTGCTACAGAGTTCAGGATCCAAGCTGTGAAATAACCAACAGTACCCAAGAACCACGCAGCACCATGATGATACTATGGCACATATATATTAAAATTAAAAATTAAAAAAAATATATATGTATTTAGTTCTCTTTTGGACATAGTCTATATGAATAGTGTCTGTGATTTCCTTATAAAAAGCACAAGAGTGAGTAGTTGTTGAATTTGATTAGTAAGTTGGCAAATGAATGTTCATTATACTGTACTTTTGAATATGTTTGAAATTTACCACTATTTGTAGCATGTATTTGGTTAAATACCAGAACTTTGCTTTGAATACAGCAAAACCAATAAACCCATTAGTTGCTACTATACTGTTTATTTATTTAGGTAGGGGGTGCTGGGATCCAACTCAAAGTCTGGTGAACGAATATTAGCAGGTGCTGTACCACTAAGCTATACCTCTAGCCCATAGTGTTCCTTGAGCATTCCCTCCCAGGTTCAGAAGGGCACACATGCATGCTGTCTTCCAAAGATGCCTGGATGTTCTGTCACAGAAATAAAATATAGAGGCCTCCAGTGCAACAAAGCATCATTTTTTACAAGTCAACTCTTCCATGGTAAAAATGACTTAAAATCTCATTAAAAACAATTGTCTTAATTTATACAAATATAACCAAGCTATATTTTCCTTATCATTTTCAACTACTGAACAACATGCAGCACTCACAATTAGGACTGGGGTTGTAGCTCAGTGGTATAGAGCACTTAACTAATGCAGACAAGATGCATTCAATCCTCAGAACTAAGGAAAAAATAAACAAAATCTAAAACTTAGATGTCACTTGGAAATTACACTGAAGAAAAGGAACCTGTGCCGACTACTTTTACTTATACAAATAAGCATTTAGCTGTTAATAATTAGTAAACCAAAGAAAATTTACAAAATGCAAACTTACCTCCAGAATGAATGCACACATGAAGAAAACGAAGTTTTCCTTTTTCATAAACTTGGAATGACTAGTATGACTCCTAGTTCCAGTTTTTTGTTTGTTTTAATTATGTATATTTGTGTCTTATGTAGTTATGTGTACATGAGTGCAGGTGCCCTTGGAGGCCAAAGGTGTTGGATCCCCTGGAGCTGGAGTTACAGGTGATTGTGAGCCACCAACGTGGGTGCTAGGAACCGAACTTGGGTCCTCTGCAAGAGCATCAAATGCTCTTAACCACTGAGCATCATTCCAGCCCCCTCCACAATGTTTTTTTAAATATTTTATTTATTGTTTTTATTTTATGTGCATGTGTATTTCCTGCATGTATATAAGTGCCCCCATGTCATGCAGTACCTGTGGACGTCAGAAGAGGACATCGGATCCCTTGGAACTAGAGTTAAGGATGGTTATTAGCCACCATGTGTGTTCTTGGAACCTAACCCAGCCAATGCAAGAGCAACCAGTGCTCTTAACTGCTCAGCCATCTCTGGAGACATCTCTCCAGCCCACGCCCTTTTTTGTTTTTTTGGTTTTTTTTTTTGAGACAAGGTCTCCCTGTAGCCCCAGATGGCCTGGAACTTGCTACGTGGACCAGGCTGGCCTCCATCTCACAGAGATCCACCTGCCTCTGCCTCCCCAGTGCTGGGATTAAAGGAGTGCACCACAACACACAGCTTTCCACAATGGTTTTGAACCCAAATTATTTTACTGCATGTTGATATCAACTCACTCCATAAGACATAACTGGTTTGGGTCTATTTTTAGGGAACCATCTACCGATTTGCAATAGGAGTCAATGTTCTAAGTATGACCTCTACTCAAAAAAATGATAGCAACCTGTTAGTAACATTAAGGCATTCTAGTTTGAAACCAGGATAATTATGGGTTTCTAGGTAATTTGTCAAACCTTATATTTTCAGAGAGACATGGGCAAAAGTCAGTGTAAATAAATACTCTCATCTTCCTTTCAAAGAGAGAATCTTGGTACATTCTCACAGAAAGGAGAAAAAGAGTAACTTGCCTACTTTAGGGCCAAAACTTCAGGGCTCTACTATTCCCTTAGAAAACAGGGAAGTTGTGTGGCTTCTTTTTATCTTCTGTTCTAGCAAACTAGAAAGCCTCACCATAATTAACATAATCCTTCCTGTGAGTAACTTTCAAGAAACAGAACTAATCAACTATGCAAAGAAAGACTACAGTGAAACACATAAAAGTACATAATTTCCCCCAAGTGTTTCAGATCCTTGGTTTACTGCGATTTATTTCTCCTCAAACATGCTTGATTTGGGGGCTGGAGAGATAGCTCAGTGGTTAGGAGCACTGACTGCTCTGACAGGTGACCAGAGTTCAATTCCCAGCACCCACATGGCAGCTAACAACTGTCCCCAACTCCAGTTCCTGGAGAATCTGATGCTGTCTTCTGACCTCCATGGGCATTGCATAACACAAGTACACTTACATACATACAGGCAATACATTCATATACATAAAACAAAATAATTTTTTTAAAGAAAAGAAATATGCGCGGCTGGAGAGATGGCTCAGCAGTTAAGAGCACTGGCTGCTCTTGTAGAGGACCCAGGTTTGATTCCCAGGACCCTCATGGCAGCTAACAACCATCTGTAATTCCAGTTCCAAAGGCTCCGACACTCTCTTCTGACTCCACGGGCACTGCACAACACGGATGCACTTACACACATGCAGGAAATACATTCATACACATAAAATAAAAAGAGTAAATATTTTTTTAAAAGAAATATGCTTGATTTTGGTACTAGTATACATTTGTGGGTCACCACAATACATGAGATTAAAATGTCTGGAGACATTTTGTTCCCATGTGCAGCACAAGCTGAATCATATTCAGAGCTCTGACAACTGACAAATCTCTAATGTTCACAGAAGTCCTATTTGAAAACAGTTTTGTACTCTTTAGACAAAACTCGGCCTATTCTTGCTTCAAGGATACATTAGGATTTATGAACTACAGTCTAAGTCCTCTCAAAACAATTACAAATGTGCTATCAGCAGTTTAATAGGGACAAAAACAATGCATGCTTTTGATGAAGAATATGATTTTTCCCCTTATATAACAACCAATAAATACATGCCTAATGTTCATATTTCATTTTTTTATTAGGTTTTTCTTTCCTGGTAGACAGTACACTTGGGAATTATACTGCACCAGGCATAAGACTTCTACCATAGGGACACTTTGTATTCAGAATCCAATATAAATATTTCTAGTCAGACATTTCCATGGCTACAGATATTTGGTTGCTTGATTTATATGCATAGAAAGAAACAGTTGTCATAACTGTAAAAAGGAGTACTTAACAAGTACCTTTAAATGATTGGAACAGTTTTCCTTTAATATTACAATACTGCTTACTGGTCTGGAAACTAGGTCACCCTACATGATATCTTGATTTTTCTTAAAGGCATCATGAGTACTCTGCTTACTCTTTCATTCCTGTATTTTTAGCCTTCTAGTTGAGTTAGGGACCATCTTATCAGAAATCATTTTAGCACTGTAAAAAAAAAAAAAAGCTGTTAAGGGTAGAGCTGATTACATACCATAATGATTTTCAGACTTCTTTTTATAAAAAAGGTCTTTAGAGACTCTGAACAGGCACATGCATACCCGGGAACAAAACATAGAGGAGGCTGCTAATGAACAAAACTTCCTTCTGGTCCTCAATGCCTTCAAATAAATACAAATATTAAAAAAAAAAGGGGGGGACACTGTGACTTAACAAAACAACAGTCTCTTCCATTTCCTGAAGAGTGAGTTTCCAGGAACGTGTCTCAGGCTGGAGATCAGTCATCCGTCTTCCGGGCCAGTCTACAGAAGGTCCAGTTGTGCTCCACTGTGTTCTCATTGGCCCGCTCACTCATGTGATGCACCCGAGTATTGCGGATCGTGAAGCCTTGTTTTGTGATGTATTCCATCAAGTGGACCCGGAGAGAGACTTCCTGGTGGTAATCACAGGGTCCAAAGGTAAAGGAAACCTGGCAGTCTCTAGTGTCCATCATGTGCTTATTCCACTTGGTAAAATAATTTGAGATGCCTTCTAGTAAGGAATGGACCTTGGTGGTGATGGTTAATTGGGTTATGATAACAGCCACAGGATTGGAATACTTAGAAAGCTTCCGAGTACTAGAGAGCTCCACAACTTCTTCAAAAGTATCCATAGGATACAAAGGCTTAGGGTCATTGAGACACTGAATCAAGGGCTCAATCTGGTAAAAGTCCGCTTCCTTCCGAAGCAGATCAAATTCCTTAAAATCTAGGGGTAAAGTCAACTCTGAAGTTCTTAAGAAGTTGAGGACATAGCGGAAAAGAGGTCCATCTCGATCAATGAAGTAATTACCTTGAGGGTCTCGAGCTGTGGGGAAGTCCCCCCCAAACATAGCTCCAAGCATGGAATCCGGGTAACGGGTCAATGTGGTGAGAGACGTTGTGTACAAGTGTCCACCTACATTTAATGTGACTGGGTCAGTCATCTGAAATTTTTAAAAAATCAGTCAGTCACCTGAAACTTTTAAATCTTAACTTTGCAAATTAAGAAAATTAAATATTATTAATTCATAATCATAATTATAATTTTGAATTTTTATAATTATTTCTTTATGGTTATTTATAGTTAATAATTATGTTAATTATTAACAAGCAAAGAATAAGATCCCTTCAAGTTATAATATATTTGGCAAAGTAACTTTACTTTCAGAGATAGGCCCACCCAGGAGGAGGACTCCAACATGTGCTTTCAATAGAAAGAAGGATAAATCCAATCCTTTAAAGATTTACTCTAAGCCTTCCAGGGATGACCTTCAGCGACAGTCAAGCCCAGGATCTGAAGAGTTTTCAGGTCAGAATATATATTGGGAAGAGAAAAACCAAACTAAAACACACTTGGGTTTTTGTTTTTTCCCTGATTTTTTTTTTTTTAAAGACCTTCATTTGTTGGTTTTTGTTTTAAATTTAATATAAACTAGAATAAAAATAATCTAATAATGTAACAACAATTACTTTCAGTAATTCTTTGGGTTTCCTCCTCAAAAAAGGCCAATGAATCATGAGATTTTTTTGTTTTTATGAGACAGGGTTTCCTGTAGCCTAGGCTGGCTTCCAACTCACTATATAGCTAAGGATGACCCAGAATTCCTTACCTTTCTGCCTCTCCCTCTAGAATGATGAGATTACAGGTGCACACCATCATTCCAGGCTATGGACTATATTTTAGAAACAAAAATTTGAGCAGATTCAATCTTAGTAATTTTTTCATGGAGGCAAGGGTTTCTTCTTTCTTTTCCGCTTTTAAGGGGGTCTTGCTACACAGACCAAGCAGACCTTGAATTCACAATCCTTCTGCCTCTACTTCCCAAGTGCTGAGATTACAGGCCTATGATATGCTCAGCTGAAATTAAGTTTCAAACACTAAATTAAAACATATAGTTTGAGCTGGGCGTGGTGGTGCATGCTTTTAATCCCAGCACTTGGGAGGCAGAGGCAGGCAGATCTTTGTGAGTTCAAGGCCAGCCTGGTCTACAGGGAGATCCTGTCTCAAAAAAGACAATATATATATATATTGTTTGGTTGACATTATCTAGCCCCACCATCTAGCCCAAACCATCACATACCCAAGGGCTGGTAGCAGCTTTAAAATATCTTGATCTGATAGTGTATTCATTATGTAACATTAATGTTACAATCTGACCTTCAGATGTTACCTTCAGCTTTAGAAAGCATATTTAAGAAAAGGTAAAAAGGCAGTCTTCAGATACTGAGAAAGCAAAACATTTCTCACCAAATGGAGAGGAAAATAGGGAGACATGGGTATGTAAGAAAATTGCAAGTGAGAAGAACCTTCCAACTACTAGTTCCCTAACTACAAGAAAGTGTCCTCCATCCCAGCACCCATTAGGCCCTTTAGAGATCACCATTCCCTGGAAACCACAGGATAGGAGAAAACCAACTCACACAAGTTGTCCTCTGACTTCCACTCAGGAGCTCTCTCTCTCTTTCTCTTTCTCTCTCAGACAGACAGACAGACACACACACACACACTCCATGAATAAAAAGTTTAAAGAGCAACACACATTAAAGAGCAAAAAATTATGATATATCTGAAATAAATTATTATAAAAAGTTATTTGGAGAGTATGTATTGCGCCTGGTTCCATTAAAACACCAAATCAAATAAAAATGCCCCCCCACAATACATCCTCACAAATCATATGGGGAGGGAGCTGCGCAAATTCATAACTTTAATCCTTGTAAGACAAGCTAAGAATACAGGAGAAAAAGATACTGAAATTATTTGCCAGCCTTCAAAGTGCAGCTGCAAGAACTATTCACCATATAGCCCCAGTCTCCATTATCCATCTGCTCCAGCACTGCGTCTTCAGGAGCCCAGAAGCCAGGAAAACTCTGCAAGAAGAAAAACAGACATGTAAAAATGAAAATGGAGAAAAAGGCTGTTCCACCCAATGGAGCAGACCAAATGCCAGAAACCTGCTAGAGGGCAAAGATCTAGAGAGGAAAGTCTGCCTCTTGCTCTGTCTATTTCTAGAGCCCACCCAGAGATAGAGAGAACTATCCTACACTTGGGGAAAATGAAGTCAATCATTCAAATTCTGTCACTGGCTAACCAAATGGATAAAGGTACTCAGTAGGTAAAGGTGCTTGCCACGAAGCCTGATGACTTGAGTTTGAACCCTGGAAAGCACATGGCCAGCTCATACAAGTTGTCCTCTAACTTCCACTCACAAGCTCTCACAATCACACATGTACATTCTCTCTCTCTCTCTCTCTCTCTCTCTCTCTCTCTCTCTCGTGTGCAATAAATGCAATTTTTAAAAAATTTACAAATTCTGTCACTCATCTCTGAAGATCTAATTTTTGGATTTTTTCCAGAGAACATTATGTCTAATTCTACAATCTTACATTGACTCAAAGGTCTTTATCAAAAAGATCATTGGAGAGAAACAGGAGAAAACTCCTTTCTGTCAGCATTCAGCTATGTTAACTAAACACCTCAGTGAAAGCATTTAAAATCATGAACTTCTAAGGCAACAGGATCACTTTCCAAGACAAGTTCACCAAAATATTATTTTGTAATATAAAAAAAAAGTATGCCCTTAATAATGAAGTATTTCTCTTTGTGCACGAATTAATTAAAACAAACAGAAACCAATTTAAATGACAAACTGTTAGAGCACAACTTAGGGCATAAAGAACCTTACAGCTGTGGCTGAGGGTCAACTGGCCAATACTCATGGAAAGCCAGTCCTAGGCTGATGGTAAATGCCCATGTCCTAATGATGCTGTCTGAACTTGTTTTTCTCTACAATTCAAGAACACTCCAGCAGTTTCCCAGCTACTGAACTGCAGTCAGTTCCCTCACACACCTGCAAAGCAAACTGCAGAGCGGATTTCAAAGGCACTGGAAAGATGGAGAGGAACACGGACTTGTGGCTATGCATCCAGGAAAAGCATGGGCTGTTTTACGTGGTCTTTGAACAGATCCACTTTTCCCACTTTTAGAGGAATCTGGCACCAGATTCCCAGAACAAGCCCTGGCCACAGAGGATCACAAAGGCTCTTTCTCAAAAGGTCACTCAGGCATGCAGAGAACATTTGCATAGCACAGCAGGGGATGAAATCAGAGCCCTAAGCAGTGATTTCTCTACCTACAAATTCTTCAAAGCAAACAAGCTAAAACTCAGACCAGACCAGATGTAGTCAGATTTGATTCTTCACAGCAGCTAGGAAGAGGCAGGCCTCCACAAAGGGCATAAGAGATGAACAATTGTCGAACAGGCTGCTGGGACACCTCTTCATTCCTTGTACTTCCAAACTCTGTGTAGGTAAGAACACACAAGCTTCACCTACGTGTCAATTCAGTTACTATTAACAATTGGTGATGGATCGAATTAAAAGGCATTTCCCAACATCCAAAGTATTCTTTCCTGACTGCCTCAATCATCATTCAACCAAGATTTATTTTAGGTCCACAACCATGGTGTGAGGGAGCCAGTGTGAAATATGGATACATGGGAATAAGAAAAGTATAATCCTTACCCTCATGGAGCTTTCAATCTAGGAAGAAAGGCAACAACTGAAGTCCAGAATAGAATCCAAAGTGTATATAGTAGGGCGGACTGGCAGAGCCCAAGAGGAAAAGAGACCAAGACTCCAAATGGGAAATGGAGGCCGCCAGGGGAACACAGAAAGAAAATGTATATAACCTGAGAAGGGATTCTAAGATAAAGAAATAATTTAACTAGGCAGGGACATAAGCATCTTTCTCCCCACGCTGCTGATCCAGTAAGCCCCATTTTAGAGTTATAAAATGCAGAAACACGGTAGATGAAGTGACTTGCTCAAAGTCACACATCTGGGAGACGACAGAACATAAAAATTGGGTTTTCTGACTCCTAGTCTAAATCTTTCTCTAAGTCCTCTCCTATGGTAGAAATTGAAAGTACAGAAGCCAGGAAAACAAGATACTGAAAAAGATCAACCTTAGGCTCCCAGTAGCCAACTAAGAACCCTATCCACTGAGGATTCTAGTTACAACTTCTCAATAACTTAGGCTAACCAAGCAGCCATAATGGGCCCATAACACTAAATTAAAATGGACAGAAATCTACCCATGAGTGTGAATGACTGTTGTCCCATCTTAAGTGACAGAAAGAGTGCCAATTCATGAACATTCAAAAGGCTAATGAGAAATGGAAGACCAAAGACGGGGAAAAACATGAGGCAGCGATGTTCAGCTGTCATATGAGGTAGGTCCGCTACTCATCTTTTATACTTACTGTTTTACTTCTAACTCAAAACAAGGTAACTTCTTGTGCAATTAAAACAAGCAAATTAGATAACACCCCTGAATCTCTTCCACAGAAACAGCCAAGGTTCTGGTACAAACCTGCAGTGAAGCCTCAAGCTTAATAATTTAGGAAAGCAGTTATGGGAATTTACGTAAGCCCATGTTTCTTTTTAAAAATTATTTATTTGTTGGGGGCGCTGGGCTTGAGTGCCATGGTTTGCTCATGGTGGTCAAAGGTCAGCTTTGTGTAGGAGGTTTTCTACATGAGATCCGATATCAGACTCAGTCACCAGGCATGTGCGGCACTGCCCTTACCTGCTGAGCCATATCACGGGCCCAAGTCGAGGTTTCTTAAAAAGCCTTATACTTGTAAATATAAGATACATTAAAATAAAATGAAGCAGTCAATACTAGTCACTTTATCTTAATTATCTTAAAAATTATCTTAAAAAATAAAATCACTCATTAATAAACTCAGAGAAAAAAAGTAGTGATTTATTTAAACTTTATCTCTCTCTCTTGCCTGTAAACATCCTCTGTAGAGATAATCAAATGAAAAAGGGAAAAGGGCAGTGAAATTCCTGCTTATCTAATAGCTAGATTCTGAACTGATAACTACTAGGGACAGCTCAGAGATGAGTGAAATAAAACACAATCCCAAAGCATTCTCAGAATAGTTTCAATCTCCAAAATAGCTTCAATCTCTTCCACTAAATCATTTTCCAGAGCTGTTAACAATTAGAAAGCGATTCATTTCCTTTTCATCTTCTCTCCCATCTGGAACAGGCTCCGGCAGGGGGTGGAGGGTGGTGGTTAATGACCACAAGACAGGCAATAGAAGACTTTCGAGTGGGCATCAAATGAGCCTATTTTACTTGATAAAGGTAAAAAAGTAGCCAATATTTCATAAAATTTGTGAGGCATTCCTCTCAAAATTCTTTTAAAGAATTTTCAAAAGTGACTACAACCAAGCACAATTATAAAGCTCAAAGAAAGGCTTTCTGATCTTATAAAATCAGTTCACCTGAAAAGATCTGACCTGTGATGAAAATAAAATTCTCATCCCAAAGGCAGCACTGAAGTTCACCCATGCTTAAGTTTCAAAGGTTACTGTAACTTTATTGTAATGTATAAATTCTGATGGTATGTTAGCAAGTAATGAAGAAAACACATACTGAAGAATTTATAGAAGCCTGGGAAGAAATTATGAATTTGCTAACCTAGCAAATCTGAAGACTGCACAGTCTAGTAAGTTAACTTAAAAAACACCTAAGTATCTCTAAACACTATCCTCCTTACCACAGCAAAATTGTATTCACTTATGGGTTATGATGAATTAACACAAATATTCTAGACTCACTTCTGCTACAAACCAAGAATCCTCCAGGGCAAAAGTCCTACTCCCAGACAACAATCTATGTGCTGTAATAGAAATCTCCGGATTTTAAGGAGTAATAATAAAACTGTAATTATTTCCTTCCCAGGGTTTCTGGGTCGCCCTTTTAAATGCTTTTCTACTGAAACCTTGGTGCCTGGCATTCCAAAATGAAGACCCAATAAATCCTCCCTACCTATACTTACCTTCCAAACTGCCTTTGTACTGAGTTTCTCTGTTCTTGAAAACGTGGGAGTTTGAAAGTGAAATACTTTTTATAGTAACTGGTTCTGTAACATCTAAAGGACTCTTTTGGGTTAACATCTACATACAGGCCAGCACAAGTAGGCAAGCACACAAGGATAATGGGATTATAAAATTAGATTCTCACTAACTAAACCAGAGATGGAATTTTTAATTTTTTTTCTCTCCCTTCTATCAACTATATGATCTAGAAGAAAGGAACTATAGATAGAAAAGTGAAAAGTCTAGGAAGAAATTATGAATTTGCTAAAGTAGCATATGTGAATACATACTCCCCAGCTAAAGAACTGTCAGTCAAAATAATAAAAAATCCTCTTCCCCTCAGTTTCCACTAAAATGGGTTATTATGGCCTTCCCCAAAGTAATTACACCATTTAAACACAGCACAGAGGTAAAACTGGCCGGTAAGGTAGCAGATGAGGAGGGGAGAGAAGCTGAGTAAATTGCTCCCTATGCCCAGTTTCTTCTTTGGGGAATGGAGAAAATAAGCACGGGTATAAAACAAGTATATATGAATGTAAAACCCTCGTGGCAGAAGCATAAACAGAATTTCAGTAGTGAGGTGAGATACTAGGCAAACAGGGCAGTGAAGCCCCTTCATGTGCTGCCAAAGGCCCAGACCCCCATCCCCTTACCCAGGAGCACCGACAGGAAGACCTAAAGGTGAAGACCGGGTGTCCAGCGCTTACAGAGACCACAGACACCACAGACACGTGAGCTCACAGAAGGAACTTCGCAAAGGCATGACTCAGGCTGTCTCCAAGATAAAGCAGAATACAAGTATACATGGTCCATTTAATTTAGCTAGACCCCAATACCAAAATCCAAGACAGCCTGATGGACTCATAGGAGTGACCCTACGGTTACTTTATGCTTTATGAAAGTTGGAACCACAAAACTTAGGGGTGGCATCATCCATGGCTATCTAAGCAATTGCAAAATAAAACAAAAACACAAAACAAGCATCCATATGGGCTACTGGTTTTCACCAAAGAGCTAGTTCTAACCTACAGACCCTCCCACAAAACATTAGTTTCTCTTTCCCAGCAATACCTTTGCTCTTTGGAAAATATCTCAGTCTCGTGCTCAGGCCTGTTACCCCAAGATTATCCCCGGACTAGCTATCTAAGCAATTGCAAAATAAAACAAAAACACAAAACAAGCATCCATATGGGCTACTGGTTTTCACCAAAGAGCTAGTTCTAACCTACAGACCCTCCCACAAAACATTAGTTTCTCTTTCCCAGCAATACCTTTGCTCTTTGGAAAATATCTCAGTCTCGTGCTCAGGCCTGTTACCCCAAGATTATCCCCGGACTAGGCCAGTTTGCAACAGCAGGCAAAGGAAAAAAAAAAAAAAAAAAAAAAGGCCCGGCCGGGGGGATTTGGGGGGGCAAGATAATGGGGCCCCCCCAACCATTCTTATCCACACCAGGCCCCCCAGGGCCTTTTCCACAGCCAACCCTCACCCCAATAT